TTGTGGGTACACACGGACCTACGCCAAGGATTGATAGAACGGATAGACGAGTCCCCTTTATCTGGACATGTAGGTATGCAAACGACTCTGTGTAAAATACGAGTAAAATACTTCTAGCCAGGTATGGTAAACGATGTTCAAAACTGGATAAAGGGATGTGATGTATGTAACCTGTCAAAAGCTTCAAATAAAATGATAAGACTCAGGTCATCACAGAGAAGCCGTTTCAACGTTTGTATATAGATTTCATGGGACCTTATCCCCGAACTGAAGAAGGTAACACGGTAATTTTTGTATGTATGGATCATTTTTTCAAATTTGTTTTCCTAAAGCCAATGAGAGCTGCAGCAGCGATGAATGTAACAAAATACCTTGAAAGAGACATTTTCCAAATGTTTGGGGTACCAGAACATATACACTCTGATAATGGTAAACAATTTATATCCGAAATTTTTAAAAATCTTCTAACCAAATATGGAGTGAATCATGTCAGAACAGCTTTTTACTCACCTGAAGCAAATGCTGCGGAACGAGTAAACCGCTCAGTGCTGCAGATGATAAGAGCATATATTGGGGAAAATCACAAAAACTGGGATCAACATGTGAGTGATGTGTCTTTTGCATTAAGGAGTGTAACTTATAACGCGATTCAATTAGAACCATATTTCGCGGTATTCGGTTCTCACATGTCACAACACGGAAAATCTTTTTCCATCAGTAGAAAACTAGATACAATTAGAACAGGAGAGTTTAGGGTTTTTCATCAGACAGACAAACAACAGGTAATACGAAATAAGATAATAGAACACTTAAAAGTCGCACATACACAAGCAGAGAAAGTATATAATACAAGGAAAAAACCAGTAGAGTTTAAAGTAGGGCAAACAGTATATCGCCGAAACTTTCGACAGAGTAAGAAAACAGCTGATTTTAACGCCAAGCTTGGACAGAAAAATATTAAATGCATAGTATTAAAAACTGTAGGTAATGCACTATATGAATTGGGTAACATGCAAGGGACAAGACTTGGAGTATTTCACGCCAAAGATATGTTTAGTCGGTAGAGCATGAGACTCAAGTATAGGAAGTGGGTCGAAGCCACACGTGGGGCAAAGAAACACAAACAGAATAAACTAAGGAAACTGATAGCCTACATTTGAATTTTTTTACAACGAAGCTCCATATTGCAGGCAACATCGACACCGTCGAGCCTGTTATGTAGGCCTGTGGGAAAAGTAACAAATTAATAACGAGGAGACAAACGAAGCAAAATAAACCCATGTCACAGACATCACCCCTCGGAATTCCAGACGATTCCTATTGAACTTGTATCACCTCGTCGCTGATCTCTCTCTTCACTCGTTGTCTGTCCAATTAAGGCAGAAAAGTATAGCTTCAAATGTATTGTAGTTCTGACATGGCTCGTTATCAAACCTGAAAGCGTCTGAATTTTCGGCTTACCAACTTATGGACTTGCACTGCCGCATCTCTACATTTGGGATCACACCTCGGCTGCCAAGTTCATTCTTGTTTTCGACATACTTCAATACATTAATTGTATATGTAATTTATTACACTTATTTATTACAATAATTTTTTTTAAAAGAAAAATTAAAACTTTAAAATTAAACAAAAATTAAAATGAAAAACACTTAAATAATTTAACACAAAAACATCACATCATATCTTTGTAAACAAATAAATTCACAACGTGCATTGCTCGCACGTTGATAAACCGAAAATAAGTAAAAGCTTTTGCATCTGCTTTCGTCTTGTTTTTGTGTTGTTTTGATCAGTGCAAGCCAGGCGAATTCCAGTGAAAGCTGCACCAAGTTCAAACTACTGAGAGAACGAGGTGTTATCAAGCAGGAATAACCAAACCAGAATATGTAAAAGACAAATGCTAGTTTTGCGTAAAAGTGAAAGATGAGCTTTTTATAAGTTCATACACTTTTGCTTGCAAAAGAAAATAAAACAAAACCAAAGCAGATACATAAGAGGAATATTTTGTAACCGGATAGTGGTGAAAAGTTTTAGAAAAACTATCTCATCAATACCACTCACAGTTTCAACAACAAAGTACGCGTTATGAGCACCATGACGCTGAAACGATACATAACGATCAACTTAACAATATTCGTCTTGCATCGCAATCGTCTCCCTCGCAAACAATCTATAATACCCACAATGATTCAGATTCGTCTGACTCAAACGATAACGACGATGAAGACGATGATGAGTCGAATTATGAAGATGATGACCATTAACAGCAATTATAAAAACATGCAAACAAAAATTATGGAAATTTAAAAGAAAATTGTTATAATAAATATATATGTGTAATGAAATATATTTATATATACATATGTAAATATATAATCCGCAATCCTAATGCGGATTATTTTTTTACTAGTTTTAAAATTTATTGCATGTATATAAAATATACCATATAAAAACATTATACAATAATTTTTTATAAAACATTTGTTGATAGCAATTGTGTAATAATTAGAATTAAGCATTATTATTATATAAAAAACTAAAAGCAAACAGTAATTTAAAGTAATAATGTAGGTTTTGTTAAATAGCCTTTTATTTTTCTATTAATGTAAAATGTCGGATATTTTTAAAACGTTTGTTATTAAAAATAAAAAGCTGTGCAATTTTTATAAATTGAAAAAAAAAAAATTTAAATAAGTTGTTTTATTTATGTAGCCAAAAATGTATATATGCAAGTCATGAAAACATCTTGCCTATTATTTGCAAAGAATATAAGTTTGAGGATAAATAATCATTTCTAATTTTAAATAACTATTTTAATATCGTTTTAATTATATTTATTAAAAATCTTTGCCTTTTGAATGGTTATATATTTTATGCTTTTTCTTACCAATATTTAATTAACATTCTTTTTATTCGATTGTAAAAACCAGAGTTCGGAATGTGGTGCACAAAATCGCACACTGCACTGTTCGAGTGGAAATTATTTTTAAAATATGCACACGCACATTTGTGGTGTTAAGAAAAAAATGCACGCACTCAAATTTGTTGTGCGATTTCAAATTTCACATCGCACAAAGCAATGATTGTGCACACAGATTCGTGCACACACATTTGTGCTGTGCACACCCTGCGGGATAGGGGTTAGAATATTCCCGCGGTAAGGCATGCCTGTCGTAAGAGGCGACTAAAATCCAGCTAGGCGTCGGAGGGTGTGGCTTAAAAGGTCACAGAAACCCTGAGAAGCCCCTAAGCTGAGCCGAGTAGACGCCGGCTCTAACTAAGCGTCCACCATCCCGGGATAGCATCGAGGGACACGTAAGCGCACAATGTCTGCTTCCAATGTGAGAGCAATTGATGCGCCAACGAGGGAGTCGGAAATGCGCAGCGTCTGTATATCATGTTAGGGACGACTGTCGCATCACAATTCACATACGAGAAATGATAATGGAGGAAGCCTATAAGAAAAGGCATCAGGATCGATACCAGTAAGATTCTGATTACGGCATACTGGACAATAGCAAACGATTGGACATGATGAGCTGATAATGGAGAAAGCCTATAAGAAAAGGCATCAGGATCGATACCAGTAAGATTCTGATTATGGTATACTGGAGCAAACGATGGGATATGATGACTTGGGCTGGTGGATGATGTATTCTGTTACCAATATGGGCTAGAGTGAAATCTGGTCCAGACGGCTTTCAGGCTAATGCTTCATCTGCCTCCGTCCCGTTAAAACCTGGCAAGCCTTAAAGAACGATCTTGGATTCGTCCTGTTAAGTTGGGGTGTAGGGCAGTTAAGAATATCTTCTGCTTAGCTCCCGGTTTGGCTCTGAACACATGCGCTCATAAGGCTATGTGTCAACCCTCGCATGACCTCCCTGCATTGCAAAGATAATCATGGAACCACAATAAGGGTAACTACACAACGAAACCAAGATAACGGCTTTAAGTTGGGACCCAATTGCAAAGAAAAATGTTCACAAACACAAAAACACCAATACACTCTGGCGTTAATACTCCAGCCGGCACCGAAAGTGCAAAGGAGTCACGGATAGTCAGTCCCAGCCAAAACCCCTTCATGAGGGCGCCGAGACTAACACACTCACCTGTGCTATCACAAGAGAGGCAAAATAACGAGAGAGCTCGCTCATCCCCTCCGGAGCTTAATGGGAACAGTGCTCCAAAAGTGAAAAGGGAAGCGTTCATTAAACTCGGGGACAAAATATCCGAGCTAAATGAGATGATGGGTGGAGGAAGAAGGTCCATCCACCAAGCAATGCGTGATCTTGTTGCATTGATATCATCGCTCTATAAAAGAACTGCCGAAGAGACACCAAATAAAACTATCACTGCTAAAACCAACGATAGAGGTACCCAAACAATTCAGCCGCAGCAAACACCAGTTATATCCAAACGGTTAGGAGAAGAAATCGAAAAAAGTAGGAAGACACCGCCTAAGAAGACGAAAACAAATCGACCCGTGGGGGCAAATAATACTAAGTCTAAGGAGCCAAGGAAAGCATTGGAAAGCAACTTAGAAACGGTGGCCGGGACGAACGGCAACGCTGATGTACCTCAAGCACCAATTGAAGACAACAAACGACACGCTTGGGTTGTACAAACAAAAAAACGCGTGAAACCACCTCGACCGGATGTAGTGATCATTAAACCGTCTGAGAAACTTTCCTTTGCGGACATACTCCGGAAAGTAAAAGGAGCTCCAGAGCTTAAAGCAGTCGGTAATGATGTTCACTCTATCAGGAAAACACAAAAAGGGGAACTTCTGCTTGAATTCAAAAGATCAGCAGAAACAATAACAAGTGTCCACCAAGACCACATCAAAAGTATACTACCTGAGGAAATAGAGGTCAAAACGCTAACGGAGGAAGCTACCTTTGAACTACGATACCTGGACGAAATAACCACAGAAGAGGAAATAATTGAGGCATGGAAAAACCAAATAGGCGAAATACATCCCTCGGCGATCAAAACAATAAGAAATGCCCCCGGAGGTACCAGAACGGCTATAATTGTAATACCAAAGAAGCAGGCCGGTAAAGCTGAGGAGGTGGGCAAACTACGAGTTGGATGGACCGTGTGCCGATTACTCCAAAAAGTTACACCCAGGAGATGTTACAAATGCTTCGATTTTGGACATGTGGCAAGGAACTGTCAGAGCTCCAAAGACTGGTCAAAACACTGCTACAAGTGTGGTGGAGAGGACCACCTTGCTAAAGCGTGTCAAGGTGCCCCTCACTGCCTACTTTGTAGAACTGACACAAATATTGACGCTAACCATATTACGGGAGGACCTAAATGTCCCCACTACTTGACTGCCCGCCGGAGGATACTAAATAAAAAAAGATGAAAGTTTTACAGCTGAACTTAAACCACTGTGAAGCGGCACAGGATCTGTTAAAGCAGACTGTACGCGAATTAAAAATAGATCTAGCTATAATGAGCGAACATTATAGTACACTAGACAATCACTGCTGGGCAACCAGCAAGTGCAACAAGGCATCGATATGGACGTGTGGTAAATTCCCACTAGAGAAGGTCTTCGACGGAGGGGAAGCATACGTAAAAAGTACAGTGAATGGAATAACGTTTTTCAGCTGTTATTTACCCCCCAGTCTATCAATCGAAGAATACAAACAAAGACTGGACAATATTGTTAGCGACGCTAAAAATATGAAGCCGATAGTGATTGCCGGTGACTTCAATGCCTGGGCCATTGAATGGGGCTCAACATTGACAAACCCCAGGGGAGAGTGCCTACTAGAAGCATTGGCCACCCTGGATGTAGTATTACTGAACTGCGGCCAAAAGGATACATTCACAAGGAACGGTAGAAGCTCTAAGATTGATTTGACATTTATCAGCGATCCACTAGCTAATTCAACTGAGTGGCAAGTGTCAGATATCTACACACATAGTGACCACCAAGCTATCATATTCGAAATACATGACCGCTCAGCAAGAACCATTCCTGCGGTAGCCACTCCAAATCCGCTATGGAAGGAGTTAACTTTGGACAAAGAAGCTTTTAAGCTCTCAATGGACGACATCCACCTAACTGGCAGTGCGAATGATAAAGCAATACAACTGATGCGCTGCATAACAAATTCATGTAACGCATCTATGGCAAAGAAAGGCCGGCGGAATGGCAGACAACATGTGTATTGGTGGACTGACCAAATTTCCGAACTGAAAAGAAAATGCAAACACGCGCGACGACTATGTCAAAGAGCAAGGGGTCGCGAAAATTTTATAGCGCACCAAGAAGCCTATAAAACATCGAGAACTGAACTAAAAAAGGCGATATCGAATAGCAAGGCAAGATGCTTCAAGGAAATGTGTGAGGAGGTCGATAATAACCCCTGGGGACTAGGATATAAAGTCGTTATGAAAAAATTATATAGCTACCGTCCACCAGTTACAACAGACGCAGCTAAGCTACAAGCAATAGTTGAAGGTCTCTTCCCGCAGAGAGCTGATATAACCTATACAGTACAAGATAGTGAGCCACAGAATAAAATACCTGAGGTTAGCAGGCAAGAATTGGAAGTAGTATGCAAAGGTTTGAAACTAACCAAAGCACCTGGAGTAGATGGAATACCAAATCTGGCACTAAAGATGGCCACAGAAATCAACGTTGATTCATTCAGGGAAGTGTTCAACGCATGTATAAAGGAGAGAACATTCCCCCAGATATGGAAAATACAAAGGTTGGTGCTTATACCAAAGGGCAATAACGTACAAGATGCATCAGGCTACCGCCCGCTATGTATGATTGATACGGCCGGTAAACTTTTGGAAAAGATAATTAGCCGAAGACTAGAAGAAGCCTTGAATGGCAATGGTTTATCAGATAGACAATTTGGTTTTCGGAAGGCACGCTCCACAATAGAGGCCGTGGAAGCAGTCATAGCCATAGCGAAAAATGCCATTAAAGGAGACCGTTGGCTCGAAGGAGGCAAAGAATACTGTGTCATCATTACATTAGACGTTAAAAACGCATTTAACTCAGCGGACTGGGACACTGTTCTAGCAGCACTTCAAGGGAAAGACGTTCCAAAGTACCTAGTAGAATTAATCGTTGACTATTTTAAAGAGAGAGTGCTTTTGTATTACACAGACAGAGGCGCAAAGTCATACCAAGTAACAGCAGGGCCGTTACTTGGTATGATACTTGGTATGACGGCGGACAGAAGGCCGTCCGCCGTCAGATACACAGGGGGATAAACACGTACTTTGTGTA